CACACACACACACTAACTGCAAAGACTCCCATTTTGTGCTTCGCACATGGGAGTCAAAAATAATATTGCAAAACAGTTGGAAATAACATATTTAACAGCAGAATACGTCCTAGCAATAAAATAAAGTGACTTCTAAAGACTGAATGTTTTTTTGGCGAACTTCGTATACGATGCCCGGTGCCAGCGTGGCAACAGCCGAAAACATGTTGCTTGTTTTTTTAGTGGAGCCGATCGCCAACCAGCCTACTGGCTTGTTTTAGTATAAGCTAGTAACAACTTGTCAATAATTATGGGATGATTTGTAGGCATAAGATTGTTATTTGAACTTCGTTCATTAATGGAATACTGTGAGATGACGCTATTTTCAGGGCCTAACTGATTCAGACTCCTCTATTGACTATATATGTCCTAGGCTGTTTACTAATATACATGTAGCTACTCAGAATGCGACAGTGACAGCCACTGAAACGCAATTCATGTACCAAGTTTGAACAGAATCCATCCATGTAAGTGTGATGTTTAAACTCAGTCGATTCAGGCATGTTGAATATATGGATCAGAAACTACATTCTTTAAAAGAAGATGGCCGCCAGTCAGGCATTTTCAACCAGAGCTGAAAAATGATGTGCATCGTTGTTTATTAAATGGAGTTACAGCAACAAAAACACAAATCTCTCTCTCTTTATCCCTGAGAATCATGGGAGTACAACATTAAACATATTATACTAATTAAAATACCAGACACTGAACTCTACATATAATAAAAATAAACACAATCAGAAATGATGGAAATTAAAATGATTTTATTCATTTTGTTTTTATGACAGCAATTTTTCAAACTTATCTATTTTCAATAAGCTGAACTTCCCACCTGTACTACAGCCAAAGGTAATGTCACTGTATGGATTGTAATCCCATCATCTGGCAAAACATGAGAGGAATCGCTTCATCTTCATTCTTAGGATGTTAACTGTGTGCTATGTTGCCACCAATATGGTACCAATGTTTTGTCTGATCCTACCAGCAGTCCCCAATAATGGTGTCAGCATATAAATAACAATCCCACTGCTGCCACCGATGGGGTAAAGCACAAACCTGACCAGCTGCTAAGAACATAACATGAGTAGCAAGCCAATCTGTTGTCAATGTGAGGTGATCCCACCTTGCTGCCACCAATATGGTGTCATGCAAGATGATCCAGTCGGTGTCAGCACAAAGAGATTCAATCTGCTGCCACCGATACCAATAAATTCAGACCAGCTATATATTTAATATTCTTCAACAAACACTGTATCTTGAGAACATAAACGTAGCTCTTCTAAAGTGCTTAGAGGATTGGTCTGTGATAACTGTAAAAAAACAAAATAAGCAGGTTTACCAAATATATGAATACTTCCATAAACACTACCACAGTAAAACTTTTAATGATTATATGTGTAATTGGCTTTGCTTTTTTTTGATCTATCAGTGTTCCTTCATACATTGTTTACATACCATAACTATTACAACCTTATTTATTGAGAATATTACAGCAAGTCTTAGGGCAGCCAATTTGCAAACTCGCTAGCGAATTGGCTAACTGCTTTGGTTTTGACTAAATGGTTGGCTTTCGAATATGCCTGGAGCCGTCTTGCGGTCACGCCCACTTAAGACGAATCTATGTAACAGTAGGGGACGATCGTCACACTTTAGGAGCTAATCAGTGACGGTCTTAGAGTTGGATGGCGATTTCGCTTTCAAATATA